GGGGGGGGGGGGGGGGGGGGGGGGGGGTGGCTGATAGATTCGTGGTGCATGGTTTGGGTGTGTCCTGTGTGGTGTGTGTGCAGCGTTAAGAGGCGTATCGGAGAGTTGGAGGATTGTAGAGCCGGTTGGAGATCTGGACAAGCGGTCGGTCGCTGGAGGAGATATGGATCCAGATATGATACAGATGGATGGATGGATGTACACTACCACTCACATGTGCATGGTCTATGGGATGGCCGCCGTGTGTGTGAACGAATGATCGCCCTTGGAAACATCCGTGTCGCTTTCCTTTTTGGTGTGGGAATCTGACAGACAGGCAGGCAGACAGACAGACAGGCCAGCCGAGATCGATAAGATGGCCCGGTTTTCCTAGGCACTGGATGTATCCATGCATGGCTGCCTCCGGTCGGTCATTTTGGCCTGCTTGCGCGAAGAAATAGATAAAGCAGGCGGCCATATGACCAAGACACACACGCACACTTTTCTTTTTGCGATCAGTTCGTTGTGTACCGACGCATCACGCCACCCACCCACAGGCAGAGATGCATCCGAGGCTGACCGACAGAAGCGGGTGCATCTCTGTCTGTGGGTGGATTGTGAGAGCATTGGTACGCCACGAATGACGCCTCCACGCATCCCATTACTTGTTTGCACGGCTGACGGGAGTGTGGCTGGAATGAATGAATGTACAGCTGAATACATACGAAGCATGGATGGATGATACGTGAATTGCCCGAATCTATCTACCTGGCTGGCTGGCAGGACGGATGTGCTGACGTCGTGTGTGGAGTGGACGGCTGTGTGCAGGAGACTGACAGCGATCGCATGGATGTGTGGATGGATGTATAGCTGGATGGATGGATGGACGGACAGCCTGACGGACGGATTGAGTTAAAGAGCATCGCGTGTGCATTGCGTCGACCCACCCACACGCCGTCACAGCTAAACATCCCGTCACCTCACCCCTCCCTCCCGAGTGTACCCGAGTGTCTCCCCATCCGTCTGTGTGTGTAGACGTCCTTCTTCTGTCGACGTGCACTCATTTGAAGGGCACAAAGGCCTCTCTGATGTCTGCCGAGCAGACGGGGCACTTCCACAGGAGACTCCGTCGACCCAGCAAAATGACGACCTTCTTGAGGCCCTCCGCACAACCTGTGGGAAGCGTCGATGACAGACTCAGACGTCACTGGCTGTTTGTGTCGGTCTGTTCTGTGGTGGCGGGTGGCCTCACTCTTGCAAATGGACTGGTGCTTGCAGAGGAGAAATCCAGTTGGCGAGAATCCCGATCCTGGCGAGAATCGATATTTGAGCTCGCAAGGAGACGGCTCTTTTCTCCTCTTTCTCCTTTCCGTATTCTAATCTTCTAAGGCGGCCATTCTTTCTTCCTCCTCGTCGTCGCCGACAGGAAAGTACGAGCGCCACGAGCTAGCCTGCGAGAATGGGATATCCCTCCATCGGACACTCTCCATCGGACACAGATGGTGAGTTCCCTCCACTCACGTCACAGGCCGGGTGGGGCGGTGGGTTGTATAAACGAATGGTAGCTCTCATCAATGCGGTTCACATGCGGGCAGCACCGTGGCGCCAGGCCCCGAGGGTGGGGAGAGCTGGCTCCCACCCAGCCCAGGATAGAAGTGCCCGTAGATCTGGCTCCTGGTCACGGACGGGGCTGAAAGTGGGCTTAAATTGACGAGGGCGATGGCGCTGACAGTGTGGTGTAGACGCGGTCCTTGCCCGATGCTTATCTGGCGAGGCGGGTCTCGCCTTTGGATCGAATCACGTTTTTCTCGACAGCCTGAAGGAGACTGGGGGCCGCACGCGTCTCATGTGAAAGCGGGCATCGATGCGGTCCTGATGCACCTATAGTTACCTATCACTCCCGTCGCCCCCCAAATTTCATTAGAAAGCGCGCCCTTGCGATGGCGAAGTTTTCGAGGTCGTCCACAAGGCCACTGGGGAGACCCGAGCGGTGAAGACGTTCGCCAAGCGAGCCCACGTCGAAGTGGCGGCTGAACGCCACAACGTCAACGCGTGTAAGTGTAAGAATAGGTGGGAGAGAGTCGGGGAGAATGGTGAAGAGAGGATCTGCCGGGCGGTCAGTCCCGGATAAAGGATTAAGTCAATGCAACGTAAGGTCTGTGGATTTTGTGGAGAGTCCACGTAGGACATGTAGTATGCGTCAGTCCATCCTGTCTGACGTCCTGTCCGCCATGGCC